AAGGGGATGAAGGCGGGGCGCAGTGCAGGCAGCAACTCCCTGGAGTCTGGCCGGTCCTCGGAATTCTGTCTTTAGAGTGCGCTGGCGTGCGATAGCGCTTGGCATCGGGGGTGGAGAGACCTCCTACCCTGACACGTCGATTGAGGAATTGGCCGTCTTCGGTTCGCGAGAGGGTGTCGCGGCCGTCGTTTCTGCCGGTCCAGGCCCGTCGGTTTCGGTCCCAGGCCGTGTTCATTAAGGGGAGGTCTATTAAAGGGAGGTTTGTCCACCGCCGAAGGAAGCGCCGATCTAGCCTGGATTAGGCGTCGATTTAGCGCCGATTAGCTTCGATAAGCGTCGGTAGCGTCCGTTCGAAAGAGCCGCCGCCTCTGCCGTCGTCGAGCCGGATCGAAGGGAGGGGGCAGCGTCCATTTCGGTCCGATCGATCCGGTTCGATTCTGATTTTGGCTGGCCCGATCCGATTCGATTCCAATACTCCGACGATCCAAATCGGCCCGGTGTTTGCATGGCGTTGTTGTGCATCTTGACGCAGCCGATCCGATTCGATGAGCAACTCATAGAAGCATCGTATGCCCTAGGAATTCCGTTTTCAGAGTGCGCCAGCGTGCGTTAACGTTTGGCAAGTGATGAGAAAGCGGCGACAGTGTCGATCAGCGTCGATTTAGCGTCGATTAGCGCCGATTACCGTCGGCTGGCGTCGACTAGCAAGAGCCAGCAAGATGGCACGGGAGGCTCCCATGAATTGCCACAGAAAGTGAAGTATGCAGCGAAGCGTTCAATCAACCTTCACCTTCATCCCTCCTTCTCCTCCCTTACCCAGGGCTCGTTTCGGTTCCTCCGATTCGATTCGATTGCTATGGCTTCCGATTCGATTGGATTTGGGATCCCGATTTGGAGTCCGGTGTCTCAATGGAGGCCCACCAGCCTGCCGACGTCCGCCGATTCGACTTCTCCCGACTTGGCTGCCGATTTCCGCCGATCCAGTTCATTCAAGCAGTGGCGAGGCGTCCTGGTTGGCCTGCAGTCCCACCAAAAAATCACCTTCTGTGGTCTGCACGAGAGTTCTTAAAACATCTCTGGCAGAGACTGTCTTGTTTTAACACATCGGGCGTATGTCCTAAGAACAGCGTTTTTGTGATTCGAGCATTTTTGGATTCTAAGCAAAATTTCGTGGTAGGCCCACGGGAATGGCAGGATCGGGCTCTGCTCAATTCGTTTCGATTGCTGATCCGACGTATCGATTCGATTCTGGGCTCCCCTGCCCCTCCTCCACCTTCTCCTGCTCCTGCTCCTGCCCCTGCGCCCTGGGGGAACTTGAGCCTGCATAAATCTACCCTTAATTGGGGGGGTAGTGGGTGCTGTTCGCTTAACGGCCCGGGTTCGCCGCCCGGGCGCCAGTCTCAGCACTCGGGTCACCCCGCACCCAGGGAGGTCGGGGGAGGCTCATGGCGCGTGCCACCTGGTCTCCCTTGGGCAAGGGGACTTGTGGGGGTGGTCCTGGGCACCACTAAGTCTCGCGCCAGGGGGCCCACCTGGCGGCCGAAGGTGTTCCAGAGTCCCGACCTGCAGCGCAGGTGGAGGCTTGGGCGGAGGTGGTGGCATGGCTCGGCGCAAGGGCGCCGACCTGAGGCGGCCAGAGGACCGTCCTGTGGCTGAGCTGTGAGGCGACGTAAGACTTAGCATCTGTATTTTTCTGCTGGGGGCGGCAAGGCCCGCCGTAGGTTCCCCCAGAGAAAAGCGGCACGTGCTGAGGCCGCTGGCCCACCTCGCCTCGGGCGCGCCGCTGCGCGCTTGGCGAGGTGCCGAGACCAGGGGCATTCACTCGTGCGCGCGTGCACGCGGGTTTAAAACTCGTCCGCTCCTTCCGCGGTGACTCCCTCTCCTCGGCGCCAACTCTGTTGTCGTGCCGGGCCTGATGGAAAGGAGAGGGGTGAAGGAAGGGGAACGGAAGCAAGGGGGTTTCCGAGTCCCCGGGCATGGCCTCTCCTCCCCCATCATCGTCCTCGTCGTCGTCGTCATCATCATCATGATCATCATCATCATCGTCGTCGTCGTCGTCATCGTCATCGTCAGCATCAGTTTCCTCCTCATCATCAGTATTCTCCTCCTCGTCCCTCCTCACCCCCTCCTCATCACCGCCATCGTCATCATCACCGCCATCATCATCATCATCATATTCATAATCATCATCACAATCATCATCATCGTCATCATCATCGTCAGCATCATCAGCATCATCATCACCAACATCAGCATCATCATCACCGCCATCATCATCAGCAACATCATCGCCATCATCATCATCATCATCATCATCATCATCACCATCATCATCATCATCATCATCGTTTTCGTCCGTCCGTCCGTCCGTCCGTCCGTCCATCCATCCATCCATCCATCCCTTCGAGCCGACCCCGGCGCCGGGAGGCGCCGGGAACAGTCCACAAGCAAACTCGTGGGCGTGAGCATCTTCTCGGGTCGGACGTCAACCGGGGGCAGCGTCAGGGGGCTCGAGACTCGTCACTGTGAAGGCCTGACGGCCGGTGGCGCCGACCCTGAATTACATCGACGACGACCGGGAGGGGGTAGAGGAGGAGAAGGAGGAGGAGGAGGCGGAGGAGGAGGCGGAGATAAGGGGGGGAGGAGCAGGAGGAGGAGAGCCCGTTAGAGGGGGCTCGAGGTTCGAGGTCTCCGCGCGTCTCCGTCCTGGCTCCCCGCGGCCTTCGCGGCCGCGGGGTGCCCTCGAGGCGGCGGCGGCGCCTCCCCGCGGGGGCGCCCCCGGGGGGGGGGGGGGGGCTTGCCGGGGACTCGCCCCCCGAGCGGCCGCCGGGGAGCCGAGGCATGGCCCGAAGATCAGCGTGGCACGGGTTGCGGGAGTCGATTCATAATTAATAAATGATTTCCACGAGTTCTCCTCCTCCTCCTCCATCTCCTCCTCCTCCTCCTCCTCCTCCATCTCCTCTTCCTCCTCCTCCTCCTCCTCTTCCTCCTCCTTCTCTTTTGCCGCCAGCCGGAATGCACTGGGGAGGACGCGCGCTGCCAAACAATTTCCATATGTAAAAAACATGTTGCAAACATGTTTTACAACTGTAAAAACATGTTTGAACCATTTTTTGAACGTGTTTTACACATTTAACACACACACACACACACACACACACACACACACACACACACATCTTTAATTTAGTGACAGGATTGTTAGAGTGTCCATTGCCATGGCATCCACAAGGCACGGGCTCAGGTCGGGGAATTTCTCGCAGGATCCCCCGCGGCTACTTTATCATAGGACCCCCCGCGGCGGGTCCAGGCCATCTACGAGTAGTCACCTTGCGAGTGGTGGAACGCGCTCGTCGAAGCAAGAATCGGAGCAGGCGGTTGTCGACGCTTTCGGCCTCCAGGGGCCCTCGCCGGGCCTCGGGAGCGTCGAGAAGCGACTCAGGACGAACAACCTGCCCCAGATCGGCGAAGGGTAAGACTCGAGGAAGCCGGAACTCGGGTTTGCCGACGCTTTTTGACGAGCCCCTCCCGGATTTGGACGGTCCAGTGTTCGTGGGATGTCTGCAGCGGGAGCTCGCGTCAAGTTTCAGATTGGGTCTCGTGGTTTTCGTTGATGGCCCCGTCAGGCCAACCCGAGTCCCCCGAACCCGCGTCGCACGTCTCCCCGAGACATACGTTTGCCCTCCTGCATCCATACGCCTACGCCGACGTTGGCGCGCCAGCTGCCCAGGCAAGGTCGCGCGTAAGCGCCCTCGTTTCCAACGTTTCCCGTATCCGAGTCTTACGTCTCCCCGATCAGGGGGGATGCCTCGAACCCGCATCGCCGAGTGCCTCTCGGGGCTGCGAGATCCGTGGCGTGCTCGGCGCGGGCTGCCTGGAGGCCGCGCCGTGGCCCTCGGCGCGGCGGGCAGGGCTCTCCCGCCCCCGCCGCCGTCTCGGATCCTCCGCGGCTCCGGGCTGGAGGGTGCCAGCGGACCACACGCAGCAGCACTTGACCGAAGCCTCCCATGAGAGTGGTTCTTCGCGGTTGCCTTCGGCCCATTCGTGGGCAAGATGCCCTTTTGTGGGCTTCGGAGCTTCTCGAGGCCGCCTTGAGCCCGAGGGGCTATTTCGGGTCCTCCTGGGTCCCTCCTGGGCCTCTTTGGGGCGTCTTGGGGAGCTCCTGGGGGCCTCTCGGACACTCCAGGGAGCATCTTCGGCGTTCGGGGGGCCTCTCGAGGGCCTGCTGGCTGCTTCGGGGGGCCATGTTGGTGTGGAGGACGGAGGCATCCACATGACAGTTCAAGTTCCTCTGTTGGGACCTTTCGGGGCTGCCGTGACGACGGCGACGGCGACGGCGACGGCGACCCACCGGGCCTCTCCTGGCGCGCGTTCTGATTATAATTTCGAGGCGGATCCAGCCGTGGCGACGGGGGACCCCTCTCTGCGGCTCGAAGAGGCCCAGAAACCAAAACAAAAAACCCATCCGCCGATTCCGACTCGGAGTTTCCGAGCCTCGACGACGGCATCGACGACGACGGCGAAGGCGGCGCCGGCGGCGGCGGCGGCGACTGCGGCGGCGGCGACCCCGCGCGGGAGGTGCTGGACGACGTGGTCCTGCCGCTGTGCAGGCGGCGCGGCCTGCCCCTGTCCCTGCGCATGGGCACGCGGCGCGCGGCGACGCCGCCGCCCGCCCCGTGGAGGCCCGAGGAGCGACGAGCGATCGAGGCTCGAAGCGCCCCACTCCCCGTCCTGGGGGTCGGAGGCTCGAAGCGATCGAGGCTCGAAGCGACGAGCGATCGAGGCTCGGGTGGTCCTTCCCTCCCCCTCGCGGCCGCGCCCGTGCAGCGCAGGAGCACGGGAGCCGGGGTTGGGCACGTCCGCCCCCCTCCCCTCCCCCCGTTCCTTCTGTCCGTCTCCTCCCTCCTTTCCTCCTTTCCTCCTCCTCCCTCCTTTCCTCCTCCTCCTCCTCCTCCTCCTCCTCCTCCCCCTCCTCCTCCGCCTCCTCCGCCTCCTCCTCC